CATAATGAGGACAAGGTATAATAATATATATACTTCCTTCTGATATTCCGTCTCTTCTATCAGTGGAAAAGAATCCGCTAAATCGATAGATTTGAAATCTTATTTGCCTCTTATTGATGATGAATGCCTAACTTAGAGAATTGAATAAGAATTCTCAGTTACTTTTTTTGCTTACAAAAAAAGGAAAAAAAAACGCACTTTGAACCGGTGTCCAATACTACTACAACAATAAACATTAACATATGCGTTTGAAGTAATTGAAATAAGTTTCTTTAAGAAAATAAAACTATAAAAAAGAACACATTTCGATATTAGATGAAAGCACCAAAAATAAAGAAAGAAAGCACTGCTTAAATTCGGTATAAAAATCACAACAAGAATGGTTTTGTTTATTGTTTGCTTTTGCTCTTTGTTTTTAGAAATTATTGAACGGAATGGTGTGAAATATTTTATTCCAATATAATTATTAGTTCGCTCATTATTGTGAAGGAATGATATTCAGAAAAAGTAATTAAAAGAGCTATTAAATTTTAACAAATTTTCGACAACACAGCAATTTTTCAATCTAAATTTTAAAAAAAACTGAAATGCACGAAATTTTCAGCAATATAAGGATGGAAGAGAAGATGTGAAATGAAATATCAAATTTCAAGAAATGTAATGTGACGAAGGTATGTGTACCTGTTTTAAAATAATCATGTCATGTGTCATAATTAATTAATTATGGTGAAGGTTTTTATGAAATGAAAATTTACAATTTTTTGATGAAATGATAACAATTTTTATCATTATTCATTAAAAATTATCAATGAAACGAAAAAAAGGAACATTTGTGGTATATTTGCATTATATACACTTGAAGACATATAATTGAATATTTTTTAAAAATTTCTTTTGAATATTCTTCAAAAATTTTTTTTTTTTTGAAAAAACTATTGCTCAATTCATAGATAACATTTTTTTCTACTAATTATGTATAATTTGATTTCTTGTCAACTACATGTATGTATTATTTGTATATAATACAGTTATAAAGAGCTAAAGATTTTTAAATCAGTAATTTCAAATTTTAAATCCATATTGTTGTTTTTAAATAATGCTTTCAAATTTCCTTAACAATGCATGTCCTTATTTCATTTCATTTCATTCAGATAAATAGAATAGTTTGAAAAGGAATGAAATTCAATTCAGTAAAGAGGGAGAGGAAGGAGAATGAAGTGTTGATTAGTTTAAAGTATGCAAATTTTGTTAAATAATTTATCAAATAATCAAACATGACGGGAAATGATGGTGTGACTCATTGTTGCACATGCAAATTTCCATCCTTTTCAATAAATTTTTACTATTTCAAAAATAGCAAACCGAAAGAGAGATTAGAAGTTAAAAAAGGAGAAAGAAAAAAACAAAATTTAAAATATCAAAAATCCTACACCAGCTTTTAACGATACTTAACAAATTATTCGTGCATTTAAGCATTTCTTATTGTCACATTTTATTCAGTTTAAATGGGGTGTAAAAAAAAAAAAAAAGGAAACTGTTTTAGAATATTTATTAAGGAAGCTTAAAGATCAATATACTTTTCACATCATTTCAAGATGTACATGGAGGGATTGATATAAACTAATTCATTAATATCATTCGCTGAACTTTGGAATTACATCCAAACGTAAAACATATTGATGCTTCTTTTTTCGGCTCTATCTTCAGCTTTTTGTATGATTTTCCATTTTGCATCTGGAAATTAAAAAAAAATTACTGTTTAATTTTGTCATAACATTGCGGAAATTATTCCATCGTCCTAAAACAATAAGTAATTTTATTTATATGAATTGAGATCATAAATCATTCGGAACTCTTTTGACCAAGATAATAAAGCAGCAGTTTGTAATATATTTGATGAAGAAAACCTCGTATGAAAAGCACTAACTTCTTTAGATGAAGGAAGTTTTGTAATTGGCGTCTTCACGATCAATTTATCCAATTCTTCTTTCCTGGCCATCTTACGAACATCTCTGAAGGTTATACCTTCAGAGAGAGAGAGAGAGTTGATCGATAAAACTTAAACCAATCATGATGCAAAGCATCGTGAGCAGAAATTTGTTTAGTTGAATTATAGGTCCATAATCTGAAATAAAACACCTTTAGAATAATCCTTAATTTTGTGTCCTTAATTTTAGAATATTATTCAGATGATTTAAGCATAGCAATGAGCGGTTTTAATTTTGCGTAAACATACTCTTTAATAAATTCTAATCTTTTGCATCAATCAAACTTGTCAAAAATTGCTTCTCTAAATTTCCTGCATTATGATGCTCAAAAGTTGTTTCCCTTAGTGAAGGGAAGGGATGTAAAGAAGCGCAAATTATGAGGAAGATAATCTAACCAGGATAGTGATAAAGAAAACATGATGAATTGTTTAAAAACTATTTAAATTCAGATATCTAAGTGTTTTTAACTGTGGGATAAAAGAAATAGTAACATATATAGCCAAAAAAATTAACTATCAGTTCGCATCATATCACAGTATTTACTTCAAAAAGATATGCAAAAATTAATTTACATTGAAGATTTTATTAATCCATGAAACAATGATTTTAATTTTAGAACAATCGTAAGATTACATATTCACAATTATTGAATACACTTACAAAAGCTCTTTTAATAAACTATGCAAGGAAAAATCAACCAGAAGTAATGCAAGTTACTGCTAAAAAAAAAAAAATGGACCAAAAGAGGTATTACCTTTAACATTCAGCAATAATTCAGGAGCTCTATGCCATAGTATAATAATAAGCGATGTATACGATTTTCGAAGAATCCAGGATCCATAAATTCTCATGATAAGCCAAAATTGCCAATCTAAAAATTATAAACCATATCTGGTAAAATTATTTCGAATTTTTGAAGAATTTCAAGGCTAATGCGAACAAAATGTAGAGATGAATTTCCCGAACGAATACCTTTACGATTTATGTAATAAAAAAAAAAAGTTTAATTTTTTAAAATTTAAAATCTCGATGGGAAATCCATTCATCGTGCATGTGTGCTATACTGGAAAGCAATTGATGAAGTAGAATTTTGAATTCATCCACAAAAATTTAAAACTGCAGCAATAGGATAGTAAAAAAAAAAAAGGTAAAGAATAATTGTTCCAAAATGCTCTGGATAGCTATTAATTGATAAGATTAAGACTTAAGTAAATTAACTATACCAACATCATATCAATAAACTGAAGTTGCACGACACATAGATATTTTTAGATTTTATTTTGATTGAAAAACTTCTTAAAACAATCATTAGTATTAACTCTTCAAATGTTTCAAAAAAAAAAGTTTCAGGAACAATGCCATTCTAAAAATCCATCCTGAAACGCTTCCCATCGGAATGCATGATGTTCATATCATGCTCAACATATACCATATCCGAATAAATTTTATCCATATTCGAACCAATCATTATTTTCTGCAGCAATCAAAATATGAAAATTTAAAGCCAGATAAATTTAAATTCCGCAGAAAATTTTATAGCTTAATATTAAGGCAATAAAGTTTTTAAAGTTTAATAACTTAGTACTTGAATTACTTGGACATTAACAATGTTTTAATGATTGCCAGCTTTCAGAAATATGTTAATTTCATGGGGTGATGTGTTTGGGAAGCTTTTATTTTGTTTTTCCGTCATTAAACATTTCAATGCAACTATTTCATCTAAACATGAAGGATGAAAAAAAACCATAGGTTGAAACAAATTTATGACAAGTACAATTTGACAAATACATTATCATCTTAAGGTTTTGAAAAAACTGACAATTAAATGAGCGCCATAAGAGATCCGGATATATAAAAAATAAAATCATTAACTAATAAAATATCAGTGTCAAAATGACTTTTTTTTCTTCTGAGCATAATAATAACAACAAATGCGCTTTACTTAATGCGGTTCAAACATATAAATCCCGCAATGTTTCCGCATTCCTTAATACCAGGATAATAAATGGGCAGCCTAGCTATAAGCCTTTTTTGCTACTCCTCTTCGAGTTTAAAATATGTACTATAGTACATGTACTAACATATGAAGATATGATTGATGTACTAATGATATGATGTAGAGAAGTATGATGAATTAATAGTGTTTCAAGTTCGGAATTGTGCATATATGTCTAAATGAATAAAGAGCACGTTAACGTGTTCGTATTTCCGGCGACAATCTTACCAGCCGTTCCTCATCATAATCAAGCAAATCTATTCTATCCTCATCCAAATCATGCAAAATTACACCATTTTGGGCATCTAAACACCAGTGTAAAAAAATCATTTTTTACTAACAGTTTGTCGATACTATGTTATTTTTAAATGTTATGTTTTGTTTTTTTGATTTCTAACAAATAATTGAGACCATTTTTATAACGAATAATATTTTTATATGATGCATATAAACTGGAATACTTGAAGCATTATCCACAACCACTTTTGTCTTGCCGTTCGTCCCTAGAAAGATTGGCTTCGCTTTTTCTTCTTGCTCATCTTCTGAGTCACTATCGAACTTTGATTACTTTGATGGACAATCGGTGTAGCTAGAGAAAATGAGTTAAATCCAAGTAATATTCTATGTTCCAAAAAAAGGGGAAAAAATTGATTCAGTTAGAGAAAAAACTTGAATTTCTAAACTAGGAAAAATCTTTTTATGAAACTGATGATTGCTCATCATGCATTTTTATCTGCAATATCGTGTGATCAGACTTACTACCGTGTATTTCAGCATAAACATCAGATCTGTATTTTCTGCTGTTTTTCTTGCACCGTCACCGTCGTTTGTTACTGTCACATCTAAATAATCATCAGATATTATAGGAAACTTTCAAATTCAGCAAATTCTTATAACTGCTTTGAAATATTTAAATTTTAAAGAATTCAGAAAAAAAAGGGATCCATACGGGTCCCATCTAGTTTTTTCCATATGCATTTTTTTTGGTGGCAGTTTTGCTTCTAGAGTAATATTACCTCGTTTAGGACTTAAGTTAGCTCCATGTTTACGTGGAGATCGATTGAAAACAATATATGCAATTAAGGAATGTTTGTCTTATTTTCATTTAAAATAACCACTAAAATGTTATTTAAAACAATTTAAAAATATACAAAGCTATTTCCTGAAGATGCAACTGAACAGTACAGTTAATACGATGGATCAACTTTTGAACGCTAGTAATAACCTTTTATCGAGTGACATATTGGTACCATTGACAAATTGTTTTTTAGCTATTCATTTCATCTTTCTCTTCTATTGCATAATATTTACGATCATTAGGATTCCAACTATTACAAGAAACAGGTTGTCGCTCGAAAGCAATGCTATCTTCAAAAAATCCGCGTAACACTGAACACTATTCAATACAATGTTTATATTATTTATCTTGAGGTTACCTTTACTAGTTTTTCTCGCATTCAAAAAAATAAATGCTTGTTTAAAAAATGCTAATAGCATGAATGAAATTTAGCAAAAAAAAATACAATTTGTCATACTGCAATCCATACAATCGAACAGCAAAACATTACTGATCTGAACTTGATCCGGATATACATATAGAGTGATTAAATTATCTGATCTCTTCCTATCATTAACGATAGCACCTTTTTCTCCAACAATATCTGCATACTGTCCATCATCTGAGGCAATTCATTTGTCTGAAATATGCATGGATTTTTTTCCCATCACATAATTGATAATTTGTCGATGACAATCTTTTTAGTGCGACTAACACTGGAAGAATATCCACATTTATGACCAAATGCGATTGCTAGCTATTAGCCACTAGAAATTAATTTAAAGTTCATGTGTTTATTATTTAATACATGCTCTGCTCAGAATATTATTTATTTAACTTCAAGTAAAATTTGACAGTATTGGTTATTATCCTAAAAGAATATGTTTATGCATCTTATAATGCATAAACATATCTTCTCTAAAATTTACTGCATATTTATTTAAGCGTATAGAAATTTTGATTCATTCCACTGATTTAAAAGAGTGAACTTGCTATGACATAAATAAAATTTCCCCAATATTAGCTATTAAATAATGATTACATTCTATAACTTTGACTGTACCGCGATGAAAATATCATTAATTGCCTTGTTGCATTTATCTTAGATTGTACGGTTTATTAACCGGAGCATTAGATTTTAAACGGTATGTTGTTTCTAACATCTAGGATGAATTTTTTTTAAAACATTTTTCCAATAAATATCATCCACCGAGATATTGCGGGCAAATAAATTCCCAATAATTGTTTGATGCACATTTTTGTTACACGATGAAAAATAAGAATGCTAGAGAGAATTCAAAATCTCATGGCGTAGAAGCACAATTTTAACTTAACTTTTAACTTTTTTTTTAACTTTTAACTTCTAACTTGATTTTAACTTATCCTTTAGCATTGCTTTATTCGGCATAGCATTATTCGTATTATCCGTATATAGAAGTATTCATGTTAACATTATTAGGAGAAAAGCTTCCTATCCTAAAGAAAAAAATGCTTCCAATCTTTTGAAATAAAAATAAAACGCAATGATATCATAACTTCATTTTCAGTGTAATGTTGGAAGTCTTTAGGTTTATTTTAATTTTCAAAGTGACCAAATCTTGTAGTGCACAAATGATCATCGTTACTCAGCGAAACATTTGATGAATCTTGTTGTCATGGTTTTGCAATTCAACGAACGGGGGTGGGTAGTTATGACAGGTCTCTAGGAGATATATATAACATTGAGTACAGGGATGTGAGTTCGATTGACATGTCATATTATCAAAATAAATGAATACCTAATTTAATCAAAGAATTAAATGAGAAATCATCTCAATTACTTTTTTTGCTTACAAAAAAAAAAAGGGAAATGGAGTTTGAACCGGTGCCCAATACTATACTACACCAATAAACATAATATATGAATTCTCGTTTGAAATAAAAAAAAATAAAATTAGGAAAAGAAAAAAGAACATATTTTAATATTAGATGAAAGTACCAAAAATAAAAAAGAAAAAAAGCACTGCTTAAATTCGGTATAAAAATTATAATAAATCAAATTTCCTCAAAATAATTTTGCTTCATTGTTTTTAGAAATTAAATATTGAATGGAATGATATGGAATGGTTCATCCCAATGTAATTATCAATTCGCTCATTATTGTGAAGGAATGATTGAATTTGGAATAATTCATGACAAACATTTTGTCGGGGTAATTTAATCGCCTTCTTTTTGATAATAATAATAATGTTAAGACGAAGAGAGAGAGAGAGAGAGAGGGAGGGTGAGAGGGGGAAAGAGAGCAGCAAAAATGTTATTAACATTAGAGAATTAAATTTTCCTTTTTATTGCAATTAAAATTAACTGACTTACAAATTTTTCCTCGATTAGATGAATTCTGGGTTATCATACAGAAATTTTCAATTCCAGTTTTTTTTTTTTTTTCGTATAAATATCCTCTTTGATGTGCAAATATTTAGTCCTTCTTTTTTGTTTTGGCAAGATGATATGTTATCGTTTGATGTTTGAGATAACAACAATGATAAGATATTAATAATCATCACATTATATTATGTTAGCAATTATTTGTTCAATTTTCAAATCATTCTTTTTTAAAAGCATCAAAAAACTATTATAACTAGCAAAAAAAAAAGAAAAATCATATTCATAAGCAATAATATTAACAATAACTTTGGCATTATGTTCAAAAATTTAGAGATTGAAAGAAATGGAAAGAAAAAAAAACCGAAAAATATCTTTTTTTTTTTCAGAGTTATTAGAAAATTTTAGGGATTAAAAATGTTTTTTTTTTTTGCAAGAAAGAAAAGATGAGAATTTCCTTTCTCACTTACTCTTAACATCATCCTAATCAATAAAATAATATCAGAAGAAATTTAAATGAGAAGAGAAAAAAAAAAATCGAAACAAGCTACACTTCTTTTACTATTGCATAAATTAAGTTTTTCGAGTTTTTTTTTCCGGTCCAAAATAAATCCGACGATGTTTAGCCTTTCTAATTCCATCATTAACCAACAAACAACATTGCGCTTAATCATTGTCGAATAGTTTACTTGAAAAAAGATTTTTTTTTTCTTTCTTTTGGATAACAATCATGTCAATTAAAATGAAAGAATTGATGAGAAAGAAAAAAAAAGAAAGAAAAATCAACTTAAGAAAAATGAATAGCTTATTCATCATTATAGCTATTATTGAACCAAAATTTCTAAAGAACTTGCAGAACTGATAGAATCACGATCAACTTCATGAAATGTTCGTGATGATTCAGTCACTGATTCGGTAACATTAGCATTATCATTGCCATTATTATCATTTTCTGTAACAGTTGTTGTGATAGCGATAAAATGAGAATGATCCTGTTGTTGTGGTTGTTGTTGATGTTCCATAACTCGTTTTCTGCGTAATGCTTGTAATGCACGCGATGCCGTAGAAGCTGTTGAACGTTTATGAGTCTTATCCAATGAACTAACACTATGTGATCGTACTATATCTATTGAAGCATTTAGCGATGATGTATCGCTATCATTGTTAGTTGATGATGAAGGGCAGGAAGGAATTGATGTAACCATCGATTTACATCCAACAATGTTACCTCTTCTAGCAACATTACCAATAGTAATATTTTTGCTATGTTTTGCTTGGCATGTTCCTTTTCGAAGATAATGGCTAATACGTGTCAAAAACTTATGACCCATTGTTACTCGATGATTCCTGCTTTGATTATAAGTACTGAAGGATGATGTAAGCGGAAATGATAAATGATCGCATGAATTGAATGTCAAATTCTCGACTGAATAATGATCGATCTGAGATGTTGATGCCGTTGCTGAATTGATGAATACGGAATTAGATCCATCCATACGGTTATTGCTGAGAAAAAGTGGATTTGATGCAGAACTGGATGTATCTGATGAATGTGTAAATGATAATTTTTGTAGCTCCGTTGATGGTGACGGTAAATCCTGCAACAATAGAAATTACATACGCTCGTGAAACATTTGGAAAATTAAACTTTTGGAATATTTAAAAGGAGAAATTTTTGAAACTTTTCAAGGATTTTTTTTTTTTTTTTTAATATAGGAAATAGGAATAGAGAGGAGAATAAATGAAACAAAACATTATAATTTCTGATTCAATTCGTTAATTTTTTAAAGAATTTATTTTATTGTCACTATTATAACATAAAAATAATCTCATACCTCATTTACTTTTTCTGGTATACTTAAAGCTTTCCTGGATTTTAATCCATCCAAAACTCTTGGTCGATCCAATAAATGTGGACATGTTAACTCCATCACACGCTTACCATTCTCATTAATCTTTGAAGATGGCCGACTGCAATCGTTATCCCAGCAATCTTGTGGTTTATATGATGATATCCTCTGCGATAATGTATCATAGCTGATCGATTTCCCCAGTTTTGAATGGTTTTCGGTGTTATCACATTCCTAAACAAATGTCAGTTGATGTGTATTCTATTCTGGTAAACTCATGAAAAGAATCAATCTTTAATAGCTAATTATTAAATAAGGAAAAAAAAATCCAAAGTTATTCTTAAAAGATACTGTAAAACTTGTCTTTAATCTACTGTAATAATGTCAGATTTTCTTCGATTTCCTGGAAAAATCCTACCAATAACTCTCATTTTTACACATATTTCATGGAAGTACTATTTCTTACAAATCATAACATCCTCCTCTTCCCGTATCCATTCATACAAAAACACGTATTCAAGATCGATAATACTGATGAATGCAAAAGACCAATCATCGAAGATAAAGAAATGCCATTCGATAACGATAATCTTAAGCATCTGAATACAGATGAAATAATCTAATTCCTAAAATCAAAGTTTCTAGCATAATCAGCTATATCAAGCAGTTCAAGATTACCTGAACTGGAGTCGAAATGATAGTATTGCTATCGTTTCGACATTCTTCTTCATGTTCACTGGATTTAGACGATAAGCTCGGATCATTTTTCTCGCGTAGTCGTGCTTCATATTCCAGTAATTGGCCCATGAAATTGAAATTTGGCGAAATCGATGGTCTACGCTCTTTCACATACCTATAATTTATCTAAATTGGAAAACTTCTTCTGAATTGAAAAAAAATTTTTTTTTTTCTAGAAAATATCAAAATACCCTATATGAACATGTACATATAATCATGTCAAATTCATAAGCCTCCTTAAAACGGTATAGCTGTACAAGTTTGTACAATATAACATGCTGATGTTTAGCATACAGTATAATCATCCGTAAATCCAGAAAATACTGTTACACACACATGATACGATATACGTGTTTTTTTGCACGTGTTTGCACGATATACGTTTGCACGATATACGTATTTGCACGATATACGTTTGCACGATATACGCACGATATACGCATTTTACATTCCGTATAAAGTGCATACAACAACCATAATATATCCGTATACTGACAAATCAAATCCGGAAAATGTTGTTGCATACGATAAATATATGTACGATACGATTTACACATTTTCATATATCGTATATACACATGTAAATAACCATAATATATAAAGTATAAATCCAAATTTACTTGAACATATGATCAATTAATTGCCCAACCTGAAGCAATATGTTCAGGAATAAAAAATAGTCAAAGTAATTTTGAATATGATATCAAAAGATTAACCTATATGCTTGTTCAGATGTCCAATTATTTCGTCTCATCATATATGCGATAGCCAATGTTGGACTACGAGAAATACCAGCAAGACAATGTATTAATGCTACTGAACCACGTTCACATACTTTATCTGTAAAAAAAAAAAAAAAAAAAATTAGAATTTTCTATAATTAATAAATTAATTAGATTAATTTTTCTACTAATTAATAATGATAAAAAAAAAGAAAATTTACCAAGAAATTTGAATGCATCATCAAAATGTGGTAATAATTTCGCTTGATACGTATCATTGATAGGTATTCGCATAAAATGATCATCCTGATTTAATGCATCCGGTTTAGGGCAATTCACACTAAGATTTATCACATATTTAATACCATATTTCTGTAATTATTAAATATTTTTTCATATTAAAAAAAAATGAAATATACGAGAGAGAAAAAAAAAGAAAGAAAAGGTAAAAATTAATATGAATGATAAAAAGAAAAGATTAAATTAATTACTGATAATAAACTAGAATCCATAGCATCCTGTTGTGAACCAAGATAAAGGAATGGAAGAATTTGTGTTGGACCATCATTTGTAGTTGAAAGACATGGATTAGATATGCTTGTTAGGATATGATTTCCCATTATATTTTTCTCCATTTTTTCTCGTCGTTCCGTGGAACTTTCACATAATTCCGGAAATCGACTATGAAAATCCTCAAATCCATCTGAAAAAAAAACAGAAGTAAAATAAATAAATATGTAAATAAGTAAATAAATAAATAAATAAAAAATAAATAAATAAATAAATAAATAAATAAATAAATAAATAAATAAATATATATATATATATATATATATATATATAT